TCGATCCTTCGCTGAATGCTAACCTCGTCTACTATGAGGGCTCGTCAAATAGATTATCTATACCTGCACGCATTATTGCAGCGTCCCCAACAAAAGGACATCAGTACGAATAACGTACCGAGTATGTAAGACGGAATTGAAACATGACAATAAGTCAATATTAATTAAAGACATATAAGAATCAACCTGAATCTTTGAAGTGCCACTGTATATGCATACTTATTATACTTATATATATAATGCTTCTCTTTGGGACTAAAATCCATATCTTATGATGCATGGCTGCACAACTGATCAGTGATAACTGCCAGACCGATCGTAGCGCGGTGATAAATGCATGATTGCCCGACCCACCATACTCAATGGTAAATATGCAACTGCCCAACCGGCCGTAGCTCGGTGGTAAATGCATGACTGCCCGACCGGCCATAGCTTGGTGGTAAATATGTAACTGTCCAACTGGCCGTAGCTCGATGGTAAATGCATGACTGCTCGACCGGCCATAGCTCGATGATAAATATGTAACTGCCCAACCGACCATAGCTCGGTGGTAAATGCATGATTTCCCGACCAGCCGTAGCTCGATGGTAAATAATGACGCATATAATACCATGATGATCATTAACATCTTTATCAAATACCTCAATAGGGAACTAGATACATACTTAGACGTGCTTGGATATCACTTTACGGGAATGAATAACATAGATATCTTTAACTGCTAAGAGTAGAACCATTTATGGAACGTCATTACGTTTACGTATCGTTACTTGGATCATGCCAAAAGAAAGAAGGACTAGCCTTAACATACCTTACCTGATTCTCTTGACAATCCCTCTAACACACGTCTTTTTGCAAAAATCATGCAACGGCGGATCAAAGTAGGGGAAATCCGTATGATATTCTTGAGAAAGATTACACCGTACTCCCTTAAAATTGCAACATCTCACGTTGCTAAGATGCTAAGAGCTCTTGCTTGAATTTTGTTTAAAAAAAAATCACGTTACTTAAGATACTAAGATGCAAATTGTTGTTTGAGTTGGCTGAAGCCTTCCTTTCTCATATGATAGACAACATCTCTTAATGTGAATTAGAGATGTTTTAAAGCTTGGTGGGTGTGGGCCCCACATACTAGATGACTAAGCCACATATGTGCCACCTATATATGGACTTAATGAGTCACAATCCTTGGCTCTCTTGGCTGCCACGTTAAGGCCTTTTAGGCTTATCCAAGATCCTAATTAATCATTCACTAATTATTAATTAATTGTTAATCTTCCACTAACCAATAATTAACCAATTACCCACATAATTAAGAATTATTTTAAATTACTTAAAATACTACTCACTTTTAACACACTTTATTCATCTTACTATCATGGTCATGTGGTACCGTATAAAATCAATACATACACTATTATTTCATTGAAACATCCATGTAAAAATCCATATATTTTCTCAACTTATAATTTTTCTAATCTCATATAAAGAGTACAAATTTTCGTACGCTTAATTCTTAAAATGGTAAAAAGATAACCTTCTTTTCTTGTGAGAAAATAATTTTTATCTTTACAATAAAGAAAATCTCATAAACTTTCTCATATTATGTGTATAATTTTAACCATATTCGAAAGTAGTCATATTAGTAACTATATAAAATCATATTTTTCAAACTTTTTTACAAAAATATTCCATTCAAAATACCATATCAAATGTATATAATGGTATCAAGGTTGTTAAACTTACGAGGTCTTATAATAACATAGTCACAAATCCTCTATAACCTTATGAATGGTCTTAGTCACTTCAAGCTCATATGGATTACTACAACTCATCCTAATATTAAAGTATGGGATGTAATAATAACGGAGGTTGGTTCTTCAATTATAATATCGTTCCGTTCTCTGCTTTTGGGCCGCCATTCTTATATGCGCCAAGTCCCTGCGCTCATTGAGTAGCTCCAAGTTTACTAACATTGCTTCGTTGTTTGACTCTTCATTTGCTTGGAAATATCTCAAGGTAGGTTCCCCTACTTCCAACGGAATTAAGGCTTCTGCTCCGTACACAAGGGAAAAGGGTGTTTCTCCTATGCTTGGTTTGGGCATTGTTCGATACGCCCATAAAACTCTGTTCGTTGACCACTTTGTTAACCATTGGTAACCACTTTGTTCGTTGACTCCGCTTGACCATTTGCGCTAGGGTGGTAGAGTGAAGATGTGATCCTCTTTATTTTCAAATCTTCGAGGAACTTTGTGATTTTTGTGCCAATAAATTATGGCCCATTATCGCATGCTATCTCCTTTGGTATTCCGAACCTGCAAATTATGTTTTCCCACAAGAAATCCACCACTTCGCGTTCTCCAATCTTTTGATAAGGACCCGCTTCCACCCACATAGAAAAATAGTTAGTTAAAATCAAAACAAATCTTACCTTACCGGGAGCCGGCAGCAGTGGTCCGACGATGTCCATTCCCCATTTCATGAATGGCCATGGAGACAGAACCGAATGAAGTCGTTCTGCCGATTGATGTACCAGTGATGCATAGCGTCGGCACTTATCACATTTTTGTACGAAGGCTTTGGCATCTTGTTCCATGGGGGGCCAATAATATCCCGCCCTTACCAGTTTTAGCACTAAGGAATCCACGCCCGAATGGTTTTCGCATTGCCCTTCGTGGACTTCTCGCATAATATAATTAGCTTCGGATGCCCCCAAGCATCGGGCCAGCGGGCCTTGGAAAGAGTTTATGTACAGTTGGCCTCCTTTAAAGCTATATCGCTCTGCTTTGGTGCACAATGCCCGAGATACCTTGGAGTCTTTGGGAAGCTTCCCGTGCTTGAGATAATCGATGATTTCATTCCTCCAGTCCCAAACAAAATTCGTCGTATTTACCTCATAGTAGCTATCTGCATCCAGGATCGAGTGCATCAGTTGTACTATCGTCCCAGACTCTGATCCCTTTATTTCTGTTGATGAGCTGAGTTTAGCAAGTGCATCTGCTTCTGCGTCTTCTTCCCTCAGGATATGAGTAATCGACCACTCCCGAAATTGAGCTAGTAAAGCCTGAACTTTTATCACATATTGTTGCATGCACCTCTCTTTGGTTTCGAAGATCCCGTAGACCTGATTTACCACTAGTTGTGAGTCGCACTTAATTTCTATGACCTCAGAATATAGTCCCCGGGCTAGTTCGAGTCCTGCAATAAAAGCCTCATACTCTGCTTCTCTGTTAGTTAAAGGAACCATTCTAATGGCTCTCCTTAGTGTTTCTCCCGAAGGTGTGGTTAATACTATGCCAAGCCCGAACTCTTTCACGTTAGAGGCTGCGTCTATAAATAAGGTCCAAACTCCCAATGTTCATTTCGACACCATCACTGCCTCTTTGTTTGCTAGAGGCAACAATCCTGGACTGAAATCGACCATAAAGTCAGCCAAGACTTGTGACTTAATCGCAGTCCTTGGTTTATATTCTATGTCGAACTCAGTCATTTCGACGGCCCATTTGGCCAACATACCCGAGAGTTAGGATTTGTGAAGGATGTCCCGCAAGGGAAATATGGTCACCACAGCTATCAGGTGACACTGGAAGTAGGGCCTCAACTTTCGAGCGGTGACTATGAGAGCTACGGCCAGCTTCTCCAAATGCGGGTAGCGAGTTTCCGCTCCCGTTAAAAATTTACTAACGTAATAGATGGGAGATTGTGTACCTTCGTCCTCATGGACTAAAACTGCAGTTAAAAGCTACTTCCGAGATTGCGAGGTAGGCCAACAATGTTTCACCTTCCTTTGGTTTTGAAAGTAACGGAGGGCTTAACAAGTATTTTTTCAAATCTTTCAAGGCCTGCTGGCATTCTGAGGTCCATTCGAAGTTGTTTTTATTTTTGAGCAATACGAAGAAATGGTGGCGTTTTTCTGACGACCGGGAAATGAACTTGCTCAAAGCTGTCAATCTTCTCATGAGCCGATGAACTTCTTTCACGCTTGACAGCTGGTCCGGGATGTATTCCGTGGCCTTGATCTTATCGGGGTTCACCTCAATCCCCCTTTGTGATACCAGAAATCCGAGGAACTTGCCCGAGCTGAACCCGAACGTGTATTTGTCGGGGTTAAGCTTCATGTTATGCTTCATTAGGATGTCAAAAGTCTCTTGCAGATGCTTAAGGTGATCACCTGCATTCAAAGACTTAACGAGCATATCGTCAATATAAACTTCCATAATTTTTCCTATTTGTTTATCAAACATCTTGTTTATGAGCGGCTGATAAGTGGCTTTGGTGTTCTACAACCCGGAGGGCATCACATTATAGAAATATGTGCCGAAATTCGTTATGAACAAAGTGTTTTCCTGATTCTCTGGGTTCATCTTAATTTGGTTGTACCCGGAATAAGCATTAAGGAAACTCATTAACTCATGCTCGGACGTCGCATCGATCATTTGATCGATGTTTGGCAGTGGGAACGACTTTTTTAGGCACGCCTTATCCAAGTTCGTATAATCTACGCACATGCGAAATTTATTGTTCTTCTTAGAAACTACGACTACATTAGCTAGCTAGTCTGGACACTTTACCTCTCGAGTCGAAGCGATATTAAGTAAGCGAGTTACCTCGTCTTTGATGAATTTATTTCTGGCCTCTGCAATAGGGCGGTTCTTTTATCTTACCGGAGGTATGTTAGGATCCAAACTTAACTTGTGTATGGGTACCTCCATTGGGATACCTATCATATCTGCATGCGACCATGCAAAACAATCGGCATTAGATTTAAGAAATTTAATAAAGCCAGACCTGAGTTCAGGGTGAAGTCCTGTCCCCAAGTGGAATTTCCTTTCTAAGAATTGTTCGAACAATGCAACTTGCTCGAGCTCTTTCGCCGTGGATTTTGTTGCATCCATCTCTTCTGGTACCTGGAAATATCTTGGCACCTGATAGGATTCCGGCGCTTCTACCCCCGGGCTAACTTTATTCGATTCGGGATCGGGCACTGGTTCCTATAGTTGCTATGCCGCGTGTTCCTTCCCTTTGCTACTGGAAATCGAAATTGCATTCATCTCCCTTGCCACCGGTTGGTCGCCCCTGATCTGTTTAATTCCTTCGGGTGTTGAAAATTTCATCAACTGATGGTACATTGATGGTACAACTCTCATCTCGTGTAACCATGGTCTTCCAAGAATAATATTATATCCCATATCACCATCTACCACTTCAAAATGACTCATTTTCATCACTCGTTCGGTGTTCATGGGCAACAAAATCTCTCCTCGGATTGTCACGCTCGCGAGGTTGAATCCGACGAGGAGTTTTGTTGCCGGAATGATGCTTCTGGTGAGTTTGGCTTGTTCCAATACTCTCCATTGTATGATATTGTCCGAACTTCCCGGATCCACTAGAACACAATTAATTTTAAAATCTAGCACATTTAAATAAATTACCAGTGAATCGTTGTGCGGTAGCAGCAATCCATTTGCGTCCTCCTCCGTGGAAGGGATATCATATTTGGCAACTTCCCAGAGTCTCTTACTATGAGTTATTAACACTTTTGTCTTTTTTGCTGCCGAGAAGGTGACCCCGTTGAACTCGTTCCCTCCAAAGATCATGTTGATCGTCAGGCGCGGGAGATCTTCTCCTGCTTTCGAGGGTTCTGTATTATCCCGATTGCGACCATAGTTGTTCTTGGTCCAGTCAATCAAGAATTCTCTAAGATGACCATTCTTCAACACTGTCGCCACTTCTTTCCGAAGATGTCGGCAGTCCCCAATTCGATGGCCATTCGTCCCATGGTATTCACACTACAAGTTAGGATCCCTTTAGATGGGATCAGATCTCTTCGGCTTTGGAAACCGTGCTTCTTTGATGTTTCTCATGGCTGATACCAACTCTATTATACTAACATTTAAATTGTATTCTGAAAGTCTGGGGTAGGAAGGATCCCGCGTACATAGCGCTTTTTTGTCCTGCAATGATCTATTTTTCCGACTGCGATCTGTCCTTCTGTCGGTAGCGAAGCTGTCTGCGGACCGGAACCCCCTGCCGCATCCTTTGGTCTGTTCATATGGCTAAAATTGGCCCTCAAACATCGTATGTCCGTGTGAAAATCATCTTTTGATCTTTCTTTGTTCTTTTCCCGTCCCTTTGCTGACGACGGGAAACCAACCTGATCATCTTCGATCCTTATCTTTGATCCGTACTGGTTGTGGACATCCGCCCAAGTCATTGCTTGGAACTCAAGAAAACTTTCCTTCAGTTTCCGGGAAACATCTGAACTTCTCTGATTCAGTCCCTTGGTGAAGTCGCCCATTCGTTCGGAATAGCCGGGAGAAACATCCTCTCATTTTGAAACCAGGTAACGAACTCTCGCAGCAACTTAGATTCTCCTTGTGCAATTCTGAATATGTTGGCCTTTCGGGCCTGCACCTTTCTGGCCTCGGCATGAGCCTTAATAAAAGAATGTACGGGCATCTCAAAGGAATCTATGGAATGCTCGGGTAACGGTGAATACCGCATCTAGGCGCCCCTCGTGAGAGTCTCTCCGAATTTCTTCAGCAAAACAGATTCAATCTGTTCCATCATTGTGTAGGTGGTAATATGCTCCTGAGGGTCTTAAGTTCCATCATATTTTGCCACGTTGGGCATTTAAAACTGCTTCAGGATTAATTCGGGTGTCGCGTTTGGTTTGTACGACAACTGAGTATACTTCTTTGAGTCCGGTCCTTTCAACACCGGGGGTGCGCCCGGGATTTGGTCCATGCGGGCATTCACTTCTCTCATAAACCGTAAGATTTCATTCTGGAAGGGATCATTTTCGTTATTAGGTCCGGATCCGCTCCCCCCAGCTCCATCGGAGCCAACTTCGCCCCTCGGGGTGTTGTTGTCAGTCCTATGAGTTGTTTGATTTGGGGGAATATTAGAAGGAACTGGATCTCGTGTATTTGCGTTATTGGAACCCCCGATAACACCTGCTACAACTCCACTATAACCTTATCCTACCGTGTGTGATGGCACAGAATGATCGCTTGTTCCTCTTGTAAGGCCCTTACCGCATCAAGAACATGCTCTTCTTCAGCATCATTGGGAGTTGTCTCCCGAACATGTCACGGGTATCGCCTGACGTGGACCGGCGTGGCATCGTTCCCCTCATTGTGGGTGTCACTGATTAATCCTCGAGATGAGACTGGTCTCCTCGAACCTCAGGATTGTGTGTGTTGTTAACACCGTTATCTGCCATTTCTTATGATTTTGCTAAGACAAATGGAAAAAACACGTTAGTAAATGAGGCAAAGATAGACTTAATTACAGGACTGTTTAGGCCCTACGATGGGCACCAAACTGTTTACCCGTAATACGATAAAATTGAATTTGTAGGTGGTTTCTAGACAAGTTAATTAATTCGATCATGAAATAGTGAAGTAATTGACGAGATATGTACACTTAGCCTTGATGTGAAGACGAAATAACATAAATAATGATTCCGGGTGCAGCAATAATAAGAACACAAAGTGAGAAGATAAAGTTGTATAGTGCTTTGAATAGATTATAGTATCAATTTGCCAGAGAGTGCGTCTCCCTTTACAATGATAGCAGAGCTCACTATTTATAGCTACGTCTAGGGAACAAAGTCCTAGGATTGTGCCATTCTTTAATGTCAATTATGAGGCCATTGATGAAGGTGTAACGGTGAGTATAAATGAAAAGTTCTCCGTAACGAGCAGTGCACTCAATGCTGTGGAATATTCTTCATTAATGCCATCGAGCGGAGGGTATTTATTGTCTCTTTATGAGTGTCATTCCTTCCGGTACCAAGCAGGATAATTGCATCCGGTTCCATGTGTCATTCTTTTAAGCGGCCATTTGGCATAGCACATTTTACCCTATACAATGAAGATCTCTAGTGTTTCTAGTACTTTTTGTTATGTATGCCTTTGTACGTTTTTTTCTATATTGCTTTTGGTCCTTCACTGATTCTTCTATCAGATTTAATTTTTGGGACTTTTTTTGTATATATACGAAATTTTAAACTTATTCATCCGGTTTATCTAAGTTTTCCTATTTATAGAAAGTAACTAAAGTTTTTTACAAACTATATACAATATCTGGTAAAGTTCCACAATTTATCTACAACTTAAATACAAATTTTGTATTCAAAATCCGGTCAAAAACTACAATTTAAATACAATTGTATACAAGGTAACGTAATTGTATACCTTGTATACAATTATGTTAGCAATATATATTTTTATGTCGTTTCTGCACCCAAAAATCACAATATACACAATTTATTTATGTGTTCCCAAACATTTGCAGCAACACTGTCACGACCTCAGTTTCCCTCCGTAGGATGTCGTGATGACACTTAGCCTCTATGACTAGGTAAGCCTAACACATACTGAATTAATAACCGATTTTAACCAAACAACTATTAAACATGAACCAGATATCTCTATACAAAGCCAACAATCCCAACATGATATACAACATCCCAAAATCGGTAGTACAAGTCATAAGCTCTACTGAGTTCACTAGAAAATTTCTAAGTACAACTGTTTCGGAATAGAAATAACAGTACAAAATAAACTTCAGAAGGTGACTCCGAGGCTTGCGAACACAACGGCAAGTATATCTTGAAGTCTCCACGGCAATATCCGATCGACTATCTAATGATCAACAATCTCCGATGTACCTGGATCTGCACAAAAATGTGCAGAAAGCGTAGCATGAGTACACCACATCGGTACCCAGTAAGTATCAAGACTAACCTCGGTGGAGTAGTGATGAGAGACAGTTAAGACTTCTACTAGACATAATAACCTGTACAATTATGAATATAAAACTAACAGGGAACAATATAAGGCTAAACATGGAAAGAATGATGCTACAATACTTGCAATAAGAACTAGAACAATAATTACCACCAAGGAGCAACACGTAATAACGCCGTAAAGTAACCAGAATACAGTTAAAGTTAGGTGAAACCAAGTAAAGGAAAAACAAGTAACAACCCAATAAAAACAACCACTTTCACACAAGGTTTATACAAGAACTTCCTTGAGGTACCACACCTCATAATCATATATCACGGGTCCCAAAGCACGAACCCTAGTCACTTGGCATCTTGTGCCCGACATTACAAATTGTAACTGCACAAACAACTCATGTGCCAATACCATTAACACCTCATATCTGCACGGATAACTCACGTGCTAAGAGAGTAACAATATCTCGTATCCGCACGGACAACTCACGTGATAGTAGTAACAATATCTCATAATCACACGGACAATTCACGTGCCAATAGTACAACTCAAGCGCAGAGGGCAGGTATACAAGAATACATGTAAATGATCAATAAACATCAAGGTTCATCTTCTTCCACTGGTATGAGTGACTAACTACGGTGTATGCTTGTACAAGTATTCTATCACAACTCGAGTCAACAAGTAAGATCAGAGACAACGAATGGTACATAGGAAACAACACAACAAAACGTAAAATGAATGACTCACACAAAGTAAGCACACCAATACACATAAAAAACAATGCCCCCAGGCCATCACAAGTCATCATAATTCATCACAATTCATCCCCGACATAGGCCCCCTTCTCTCGCCACGTGCACAATAATAAAGTAAATGCCCGCCTTGTCTCGCCATACGTGCATAATAATATTCCCGCCTTGTCTCACCACATGCGCAAACCCACATATATAGCCCGCCTTGTCATGCCGCATGTGCAATATGAATAATAAACATAGCACGGACAACTTACGTGCGAACACCCAACAATCCTTTCAACAATACCACGTGTGCCAAAAACATAACAACACAGTATAACAACTCGCACCACATATGCCACAACATTTCCTCGAAACAATTCTAATACCACAACCACACATATCCCTCGTCTCAACAACACTGAGTACCACAACAACAACAATAACACGGGAGTACAACAAGTAAATCAACACAAGAATTATAGAACACAAAGAAACGAAAGAACGAGCTCACAATGAAAGACATGATAAGTAATAACAGTTTCAATAAGAATGACTCAACAATAAGAAAGATAATGTGTAACAACGCTATCAAATAAGAGTAACTCAACAATATGAGAGATAACATGTAACAATGATTCCAAGTAAGGGTACCTCAACACTAAGATAGATAACATGTAACAATGACTTCAAATAAGAATAACTCAACAATAAGAGAGACAATATGTAACAATGATTCCAAGTAAGGATAACTCAACAATAAGAGAGATAACATGTAACAATGACTTTAAATAAAGATACGTCAACGATGGAAGAGATAACAATAACTTCAATTAAGGATAATCAACTACAGAAGAGATAACATGGCAATAAAGGGTAGAACATGAACCAATCAACTTTGAATAGGACACATAAGGGCAAATTTAGCAATGGAGGATTTTACATGATAAGACTACTTCATTTTAATGTACACAAGAACCTAAGAGTCTAAGACGGTCAAATTTCCATATATAAGCCGTGTACACACTCGTCACCTCGTGTACACGTGTTTCACGTAGCTCAAATAATACAAACAAACCAATCCCTACGAGGTAGTTATCCCGCACAATGTTAGACAAGATAATTACCTCAAAAGCCCTCAATCAATATCTAAAATGGCTTTTCCTTTACAATTCACCTCCGCTCGGCTCAAATCTAACAAAAATCGACTTAATAACATCAAATAATACAAGATAAATCAATTCCAATAAATAAAGCAATGATTTTTACATAATTCCTCAAAAGTCAACAAAAGTCAGCCTCGGGCTTACCCGCTCAAAACCCGGGTCTAAAGGTAGATTCAGACTATCCAAAACCCTACGAGTCCATACATGTGTTTTGTTTCAAAATTCGAATCCAAATCGACTCTCACAACTCAAATTCTCGTTTTTGAAATATAGACAAAGTTTCACAAAATTTCACTTTGATTCTCAAGATTTTGATGTTAAAACTCTCATATAATCATGTAAAATAGTTGGAAATTGAACAAAATCACTTACCCCATGATTGTAGATGAAAATCGCTCTTTAAAATCACCTCCTATCGAGTCTAGGGTTCAAAAATGTGAAAATGTGACTAAGAATTCCGTCCCTCGGCTTTTTGTCCAGTCGCAGGTGTCGCAAATGCGACCTGGGGTTCGCAACTACGAACCCTGCAAATGCGAACCCCGCAAATGCGAAAAATGGTTCGCAAAAGTGAAAACCTCACTGTCCTATTGTCGTTACAAATGCGACATTTTGTTCGCAAATACAAATTGTGGACATATCACAAAA